TTATTTGTACTGAAAGAAAGAAAGAATGAAAGAAAGAAAGAAAGAAAGAAAGAAAGAAAGAAAAGAAAGAAGGAAGGAAGGAAGACAGAAAGAAGGAAAGCGTGGAGAAGTATTAAGATATAATATCATTAAGCCACTCTGGTGACAGATATTTCTATGGTGCTGGTTGAACAATGGTTATTGAGTCTGGTAAAGCGTAGCAGTATAACAAACAAGCAAGCAGAATAATATTTGAATATTAAAAAATATGTTCTTATTTTGTAATATCTTGGCGGGGCATAAACCAAAAAAAAAAAAAACAATTTTAAAATCTGTAAATTGTATTCCTTTGAATAATATACCAATTTTGAGCGAGACTTATTGATGCGTGTAGAATGGAGAAAACTCGGCAAAGCGTCAACAACGAGATTTATAGGGATTTTTTTTTTCCTTTCAAAGAGAATAAAATTCAGCAGGAGGAGGAGGAAGAGGAGGAGCGTTTGGTATTAAGCGGGCAAAATGCTTGATGTTTCAGTTCTTTGATGCCGAATCTAAGCCGGGATATAAAATGTAGCCAATGACACAAGTGAGCACTTCGTCTTATCGGTTCTGCACAAAGGTTCGCTCGTTTTCTCCCTCGTTTCCTCGGCCGACGTTTTGACACTCTGTCCAAAGATGAAAGGAAAGAGAAAGAAAGAAAAGAGTAGAAAGAAAGAAGGAGAAAACGTTGAAGTAAAAGATGGCGAAAATGAAGATAAATGAAGTGAAACTAGATAAAAAAGGAGAGAAAAAAGAAAGAAGGAAAAAAGGAAGGAAATGAAAGATAAAAAAAGAACAACATGAAAAATATGAAAAGGAGAGAGAGAGAGAGAGAGAGAGAGAGAGAGAGAGAAGTATGAAAGACAACTAATTAGTGGCAGTAAGAGTATGTATTAAATTGGGAGAAAGAGGAGAGCTTGTCAATGAAGTTGAAGGCGTGTTCGTGAGTGTTTTGGATGAGGGTGGAGGAAACGCCGTCGGGAAGGAGCAAGAAAAAGAGAGCAAAAAGAAAGAAAGAAAGAAAGAAAGAAAGAAAGAAAGAAAGAAAAAGGAAAGAAAGATAGAAAGAAAGAAAGGAAAAGGAAAGGAAGAAAAGAGAAAGAAAGGAAAAGGAAAGGAAGAAAGAAAGAAAAGAGAAAGCAAGAATGTAAGAACAAAAGAAAGAAAAAGAAAAAATGAAAAAAAGAAAAAGAGAAAGAAAGAAGAGAAAAAGAAAAAGTAATAAATGTAAAAAAATAAAAAGAAAGAAATAAATGAAAGAAAGAAAGAACGAAAGAAAGAAAAAGAAAGAAAGAAAGAAAAAGAAAACAGAAAAAAGAAAAAGAAAGAAAGAATGAATTAAAGAAAGAAAGAAAGGAAAGAAAGAAAGAAAGAAAGCGGATGTTGTATAAAATTGGCAAAATATCGCCATCTTTTGGAACGAAGCGATCGACGTTTTTTTTTTAATGGCGGGATAAAATGAAAGAAGAAAAAAAAATCCTTCACTTTGTAAAGCACCTTCTTTCAGCACCTCCTCATGCCGTAAATAGGTCCTCCTCCAAAACCATAAAAAGGGCTTTACGTTAACCCGCAGAAAAGTAAAAATTTCTCTTTCGTCTCTGTTTCATTTAAACATTTCGAAGGATTTCCGTTTCTGCTTTTTATAAGTGGACTAAACTACGACTGACGGCTTTCAAGTGGGGGTGCTGAGAGAAAACGACGTGGCTCGTCCGGTAATAAGGTCGTTGCAATAATGAGTTAATCAATTTTAAGCGATTTGCATTGCGAGCATATCCCAAATCGACCTAGTAAGAATCTCTTTTTCGAGTTCCCAGTTGAAAAGATTCTTGGACTAATTTACAGATATTTAAATCTTATTTTACAAGTATTGCATAAGTTTGTCAGAAGAAAGAATTTTTTTATCGAGTCTGTGAGTTTGTGGAAATGAATCGTTAACTGAATTAACCTTTTCAGTATTATCTTCGATATTGTTAACACTAAGCGAAACCTATAAATACCTTCTTTGGTAAATTATATTTTTCTTAAGATATGGACATGAATACAAACTTAAACCAAACACCTAACGATAAGTTTCATACTCTTTCTTAAGACTACCTTTTTAATGATATACCCTTCTTGGATGTATGCGATCCTGGCTCTCCACACATCCCTTTTCTTTATTATAATTATAAAGAACATGTAAACTGATGCCAGCAGAGCTGTCTTTAATACTTTTTGCACTGTTGAGAATTTCAGTAATCAGAACTATATCTCCTTAAATGTGGCCAAGAATTTACTGGAAATTCAGATTTTCTTTTTAATTTCTGTGAGAGACAATCAGAAGTAAATTTCATATATCAGGTACAATGACTTCTTGGGAAAGATACTAAAGTGGTTTCCCATTGACTTTTCCACAATTTTGAATTCAAATTTCTTCATTTAGACAGAACCTAGGGAGCCCAATCTATCCTGCTATTTTACCCAAAGTTGGAGGGGAAGAAAAAAAATAATGTTTTCCCAACAGCATTTGTTAGAAAGTGAACGCAACTGTTTAGGCTGGAATTCGAACTCGATACGCTGTTCCTACTTTTCGTCTTTATAATTGCTAACCTACTAATGTTATATAAATTCATTGTCTTGAATGTTTTAAATTGATGTTCAACCTTTACAAGTCCCAAGAGTCACTCGAGGTAGAGGGTTATATAGTATAAGGCTCAGTTTATGCGAATATGCGGGGAAGATAACAGTTAACCCTAGACTTGAACAAGGATTATAGTGATCCGGGAAGCACCCTCTTGAGAGTCGGTTTCACAAAGCAGTTTATGTGAAGAATCTGTTCGAGTGGAACTTACATCTTACCAATGGAATACGAAGGGGATGAGCGTGGTCCGCTACAATGTGGGCAACATAGCGGATCTTAGTTGTGGAGTTTAGAACTGGTGGAACTAAATACCGGAAATAGCGATGGATGCATGCAATGTTTCGTGGGTAGGAAAGGGGTTGTAGCGGTGAAAATAATTCATCATTCACAAGGATGCGGAGATACTTTGGGAGACAGCCGAGACTGGAAAGTGAAGTCTGAGTATCTCCTGCCCATATATGCCAGTAGTACTCCATTTTCAACCTGATCTGGCTCTTGTATTGGTAGAAGATAGCAGAAGGAGTCAGGTACTTACTGGAGCGGTACAGGGAACCAACCATTTTCCCAGCATCTTTAGCGATTGATCGTATGTTCCAATTGAGGTCTGGGTTGAGTTTAAGTCCCAGTATGCCCTCAAGGTATGGGATCTCTGAAAACTGCGATTGGTGTTTGGGACTATAAAAAAATGATGATGCAATTATAGCTGCAGACAGACAGATCATCTACTGCCCCCCGTTGGGCTGACACAGATCATCTACTGCCCTCCGTTGGGCTGACACAGATCATCTACTGCCCCCCGTTGGGCTGACACAGATCATATACTGCCCCCCGTTGGGCTGACACAGATCATCTACTGCCCTCCGTTGGGCTGACACAGATCAACTACTGCCCTCCGTTGGGCTGACACAGATCAACTACTGCCCTCCGTTGGGCTGACACAGATCATCTGCTGCTCTCCGTTGGTTTGATGTTCCAAAATCTTTCAATTAGGGTGTTATGCCGAGCTTGGTTTAACATGAATATATTTCCATATTTAATAAAACTTACCAAAAGCAAGAAATAGTACAATTTCAAATTTCCACAAATATATCAGCAAAACGATATTTTTTTGTGTATTCCTGTTGAAAAGAATTTGTTAGTAAGAATAGCCAACAACGTCTTAACTATAACCGGTTATATTTCTGTATCATGTACTTTCAGGGTGTGAATGATCATGACTCTTCACAGCTTCCTTTCCTTTTTTTGATTTAATTAATACTTTCTGCTTTACGATTCATTTACTTAGATTCATTAAGTTACACGATGTATTCCCAAGCATCTTTTGTCTTCAATATCCTTGTGAGTTTTCACCAAGCCTTCTTTTCTCATTATATATCTAAGAAATGTCTTTGTTGTCCCTATTCCCCTTAAAAATCTTCATTACTCACATGACCTTCCCATAGTATTCGTCAGTAGAACCACTCTATAGTATCAAGTCTTGTGAGGAAATTGCCCGGTATTGACTGTCATGTACAAGATTAGATATTACATATCAAGTGAAACTATTTTTTTTATCGTTTTAATGACATTTTCCGGTCTCTTCTATGCGTGGAATTAGACTATGCATCTTTACCGACACATAAACTGAAGATAACCAAACGTAATGTTACGCGGCATGCGTCAAATGTTCGTCTCCCTATCAGGAGTATCGAGAAAATTAACATAGAAGATACTAGTCTGACATTAGATAAATAAATGCGTACATAGTTGTTGTAAGACGCACTGTCAACCGCAGGGGGCCGGACATAGGAAGCTTCTTGAGGTCAGTTGAAGAGAAGTAACGACCTACCGTAATTCCCCATGTATAATATGCATTTTTTTCTAAAAAATAATAAGTAAAATTAGGGGTGCGTATTATACACAGCTACAAAAAATCTTTAAAAATTGCCGTTTCATAGGTTTATTTCAGTTGCGAAATGACTATTCACCACAAACATACAACAATTTGACACTAATATTCGGCGATTGCGACCCCATAAGGATGTCAAATTCAAACACATGTACCTAACAATACTTACAAATGTAAAATAAAATAAGAATTATCATAAAACTAAATTAGAATAATATTATTCTAGGTTTAAAACCTTTTTTGTGAAAAACTTCTTACAGATTCGGTAGATTGCACATTTTATCGAACAAAAACAGGTTAATGAGTCTGCGCAGTAGGCCCAATATAGGTATTTCCGTTTCCTTTTAGAATCGGGATGATCGGAAATTTTGACAAATATATTCAATTACAGCTTGAATAAGAGTAGGAAACCCTGGCCATAATGAAATATGAGAGATACAATTTATAGATTATTTATTGATTACCAAACAAGGGGTGCATATTATGCATGAGTAGAAGCATTTTTCCACATTTTCAGCATAATTTTAGGGGTGAGTATTATGGATGAAGGCGTATTATGCATGAGAAATTACAGTAATCCTTTATGTGGGCCTTACGTATGTCCCAGCACCGATGTTATACCAAGTTCCAATCATCTGTAATGTTCTTGGAGATTGTGAGCGACGAAGACAATGTCATGTTGCCATATTAATTCTCACAGGGACGCGTGTTGAATGACTTTTCCAACATCGGCGCAGTAGATTTTCTATCAGGGCCTCGTAGGGTGGGGTCAATGCTACAATCTAGATGAGGGTGGCTGGATGCCAGGTCAAACACTGAACCAGTAGTCGGTTAACAGAGAATTCCTATCTCACCTGCAAGGACTCCTTGATTCTAATTACCTGGACATTGTTAAGATGGAGACGAAACAGCAGCCTCACAATACAAAGGATTCGTTGAAATTCCCCACAGGTGATGGTATATATGAAAGCAATCCACTTGATCCGGCGATTAAGTAACTTCCTCGGTCGCATCAGTATCGTCCTGAAGGCTGAGCGACTTTTTTATTACCAAAAATACGACAACCTAAATTGCCACGGTCAAGGATTCGGTGGTTACATCCAGGAGGGATTTCCCTGTAGTAGGGACGCTGAAAACGACGACACCGATCTACCGTATGTGTGTTCCCGCGTGTCACTTAGCCATAGTACCACATACGTCTTTGCACTGCATCATCCTTAGGATAAAGGGTCGGTAATCTCCGATCGAATATCAGAAAGTATTGACAGTATCCTCACCAATATCGCTTGGCCAACTTCAATGTTGTTAGTCCACTGTAACAAAACCGGCGAGGAAGGGAGATATTGCAGAGAGTTCTCCATCGTATATGAACTATCTCAGTTCATTGAAGAACCCATCCGGGTCCCAGATGTGACGCGACAGACAAAATTCCAGTGGCCAGCCTTAAGAATAGCAATCCGGAATTATCTCCGATTCTAGCAAAGTTATTTAACCGCTGCTTGAAGGAGAAATCTTTCTCAAGTATGTGGAAGGTGGCAAGCGTATGCCCGGTCTTCAATAACGCGGGAAACTGATCCTCCCCCTCCCAGTATAGACCATTAGTGTCTGCAGTATCATTATTTTTTGAAGCCTTAATCAACAAGAAGATCGTCGAGCAAGTGAATAGTGGCAACCTCGTGTGCGACGAGCAGTATGGGTTTCGATCAGCTCGATCCACTGCTGAAGTCCTAGCTACCATTATACACAGAATTAGTGAGGCCCTTGACGACACACAAACTGCAAGGACCTTAGAATTAGATATATCAGAGGACTTTGATAAGGTGTGGCACAAAGGTTTGCTACACAAGCTGTCCAGCGATGAAATCACTGGAAGTGTTTTCTCTATTATAAAATCCTTTCTAAC